TAAATATTTATACAATGGCTCCTTCTTTTAAATGCAAGCCTTGAAGTGGCTTCATGGAAGATTTCAGGTAACTCTTTTCCATCCTGAAGCTGAGTGTCTACTGAGGCAGTGGGGGAGGGGTGACATTTCCATTATGGGTTAACAGCCTCACAGCACTGAGGGTTTAATATATTTCTGCAGTTGGCATGTCTGTGTCTTAATTTTGTGTGTGTGTGTGTGTGTGTGTGTGTGTGTGGTATCTGTTTTAAAACAGTGAGCGTTGGGCAGAGACTGTGCTTCCCGCTAACATAAAAGAAGATGCACTCTCAGCATTCAGTAAGTAAGTGAAATATAAGGTGTCAGATTTTTATTCTAAGTAACTCTGTTTGAGCTTTCCTGCTGTGCTCCAAAGGGATATGGATCTCACAGTAATAATACTATTTAAAGAGATAGTAGATTCCTTTCAGCTGCCTTCAAAGATCAGTAAATGTATGTGTAAAACTATAACATTACAGACTCTGATGCCAAAAAGCACTAAATTAGAACAAAAGGGTAAAATGAGAGTGAATTACTATGTTAGGGAATCTGCTTTTGGTCTATGGTAGTTAAACCAAACTTACTGTGCAAGATGTATCTAGAACGTCCTTTACGTCCTTTACTTTAACTACAGCGTACATATTATGTAAAGAATTAACGGCACCCTTAAAACTGTTTCAGGAATAGGCAAATAGGACAACACTCTATTTCTATTCAATTATTACTGTAAATTTGAATAGTTAAACAAACTTGCTTATTTAGTATGAGTCTAAAGTGAGGGTATTCTTTTTGACTGTTGTTCTAGGAAAAAAGTGGTTTCACCTAAAATAATAATGATTTCAGTTTAAATATAAGGGATTAAATTAGCAGGGAAGTTGCATGTCTTTCCAGGGGCTAACATTTTGTGATGTTTCATAATGTTTAAGATAAAAAATATGTCTTTTTTAATCTTAACTGCAAAATAATATGCAATGATAATTCTGTAATCACCAACTTTAACCTACAAAAATGTGTAGTTATGTTTCTTTTGGGGGTTATCTGTTTGTGTCCAGGAGGTGATAAGCTCAAGGTCAAACTAAATGAAGAGAATGTTAGTGCTGAGCTTACTGCAAGTTCAATCTGTGAATTTACTGATTTCTACTTCTGAAGATTGTTATTATTATTCCATCAGCTCTGTCAGTAACAGTCTTTGGAGCCAGGTGGCCTGAAACTCATTCCCACTCTGTCATATAGTAGCTGTGTGACCTTGCTTCAGTGTCTCAGTCTTTCTGTACCCCAGGTTCTTCATCTGTAAAATGGGGATAATAACTATACCTACCATATAGGGTAGATGGGGGGATTAAATGAATTAACGTATGTAAAGAACCCAGTCTGACACACAATAAGCATGATGTGGTTAGGCGCTAAGATGATTACTTTCTCCAAGTCCAGGAGTGGGCAGTTTAAGCTCAAAGTATGTTTTTGCAATTCTAGGACACATGAGAGTATAAGTTTTGAAATCTGGGTTATGCCTAGAACAGTCTGAATATGCCATATTTATGTGACATTTTCACTTAAGAAGCTCAGTGCTTTTGCCACTAAGCGTCTTCCCCATGTCCAAAGTAATTCCTGACCAATACTTTTGAAAGCTGCCTATATTCTGCAGCTGCTGACGTGTCCTCTAGTTCAGAGGCAGTTTTCAGTTCTGAACTCATCTCCCCTACCATTCTAACGTCATTTAGTCATTGGAGGTATGGAATATGCTCAAGGCTGACCAGCTGGTAACCTGCCTAACACACTCCGAAACCATCTTCTGCTGTTTTAGCCTATTGCAATCTGCAAACTGATTCCTCACTCCTGACTGAAGACATTGCATCCACTGAATCTCTCACTGAGCTTTCAGAATTCCATGATTTCTAATGGGCATGCACACAGAGAATTTGGCCCACTATGAAGTTTCTCAAATCTACTAACATTTTCAAAATGTACATTATTTTCCCCTCCCAGATGCCTTCACTTTTCATATTTGGATAACCTCATAGAACTCCAAGATATGTCTGTGGGATTAATTAAGTATAGAAATTATTGACCCAATCCTACCTGCCAGAGAGGGTCTTTTTGATCAGGAAAGAGCTCAAAATATTTGTGAGCCAGCTGCACTGGAGGCAGAGTCTGAAGTCGCAAGTTGGTCCAGCTCTGCACGAAGTTGGCCAGATTCACAAAGGTATACAATCCCAGTCGGTCATTTCCATAGTTGGACAAATGGGTCATGAAAATGCTGATCTGAAAAAGGCAAATGAATTTCAGTGTAAACACATTATTTTAACCCTAGGGGGCAGTGCAATCATAGCAATGTTAGTTTTTCTTAAGTCTTTGCACAGGGTTTAGAATCATGACATGTTTTCGAATTTTGGACATATCCCAAATATTCTCACTATATTAATGCACACTGGAGGATTTGTTATTAGCAAGACCTAATGAGCATTTCTTGTCTGAAGTTTTAATGTATTTCATAACAAAAACTGCCTTATACCCATGTTGATGCAATTAGATTGATGCCTCATGATATGTGAACTATGCATAATTCCAAGGCAGTAGGATCCCAGGAGACTGGGATTTTGTAATTTCAATCAACTTAATTTAGTTTGTAATGCAGTACGTAGAGTTAAGGGGTATAAATAATCAATGAATTGTCGTTATTAGCATTAATTGAAAATGCTCTGATTTGTATTTATTAGAGGCCATAATGACAAAAGACTAGTGACTGAATTTCTACTAAAATAACTCTCAACTGTTTTCCATCAATGACACTCTGAAACCCTTGTACATATGTATTGCATCTACTATTCCCAATAAGCCTCCTTTACCTCCTTTAAGAAAAGTTTTCAATGCTCGTCTAGATAAAATAAACTTTTCCTATGAGAACAGGTGTCCTAGATTGAATCCATGCATTGGAAAAAATTATAACAAACATGGGGAACTTTTTATTTATTAAAAAATTTTTTTATTGAAGTATAGTTGATTTACAATGTTGTGCTAGTTTGTGGTATACAGCAAAGTGATTCAGTTATATATATGTATATTTGTTTCATATTCTTTTCCATTATGGTTTATTACAGGATATTGGATATAGTTCCCTGTGCTATACAGTAGGACCTTGTTGTTTATTTTATATATAGTAGTTTGTATCTGCTAATCCCAAACTCCTAATTTATTCCTCTCTTACTTACCCCCTTTCCCCTTTTGTAACCATGTTTGTTTTCTATGTCTGTGAGTCTACTTCTGTTTTGGAAATAAGTCCACTTGTATCATATTTTAGATTCCATGTATAAATGATATCATATGGTATTTGTCTTTGTCTGACTTACTTCACTTACTATGATAATCTCTAGGTCCATCCATGTTACTGCGAATGACATTTCATTCTTTTTTGTGGCTGAGTAGTATTCCATTGGATATATGTACTACATCTTCTTTATCCAGTCATCTGTCAATGGACGTTTAGGTTGCTTCCATGTCTTGGTTATTGTAAACAGGGCTGCTGTGTATCTTATTGTAAACAGGTGCATGTATCTTTTCAAGTTAGAGTTTTCTCTGAATATATGCCCAGGAGTGGGATTGATGGATCATATGGTAACTCTGTTTTTAGTTTTTCAAGGAACCTCCATACTGTGTTACATAATGGCTGCACCAATTTAGATTCTCACCAACAGTGTTAGGTGGTCATGGGGAACTTCTTATAATAAAATAAATTTGAATTCTGTAGGTTTGATTAAATTGGCAATGTGTAGAACAGAAATTTTTAAAGCTACTAATTTTAAATGAATGCAAATAGTTTTTGTTGGTTAGTGTTAACAAGTGGAAATAATTCTGTATAAGATTTTCAATGACAATGAAAACCACTGTGGCATTTATGCTGCCACAAAAAGATCATAAAAATAATTCATGTGGTAATAATACTTTCCTAAAATATATAGCCATATGAGTGAATAGTAATAATGGTTATTATAATCATCATAATAATATAATAGACTCATTCATTAAGAGACTGTAAAAAAAATTCAAGAAAATATATTGAGGTAAAGTGGCAGAGATGAGAGAAAGGTCTGATATAATGAATCAGAAAAAAATATAATTACAACTATGAATAAGAGGAAACAATGATATCCTATATTCTATAGAACAAATCCTGCAGACTTTCACATGAAAACCTTCAGTGTGATCAAGGGTATTTAATTGTGTTTCTATTCACTCTGCCTGCATATATTTTAAATCTTAGCACTTTCACAGACAAAATACTTTGAGGGTGATTTTAAATAGCTACCAACAGACTGATGCAGTCATGGAATTGATAAGTAAGACTTTTGGGGTATTTGTGAAAAATTAATCTTTTAAAATTTAATCTTCTGGTTATTTTTTTATAGTAGCTTCAATTGTTTGACCCTCCCCACCTCCTTTTTTCCTCCAAAATTTATCAAAACAGTAGTCTATTGAGAGACTTAAGAGAATCATACTTAAATTTGGAAGTTCTTTTTTTAATGTCTGTTAGAGGCAGTCTTTCATCATTTGTTTTATATGCCACATTTTTTAATGGCGCCCAATAACAATGACAAAATGATACTTCAAGTTTCCTTTCTATTAACATTTTTTTCATAACGTAAGGAAAAGTATATGTTAATCTGGTTAGCCAGTAGTTCAAGTTTCTTGCTTTATTTTTTGAAAGATTTGTCAAAAAATCCATGTCTATATTTCACTTGAATAATATCTGTATTGGACAGACAAAGAAAAATTTAGTGATACTGTGTGACTTTCTGATACTAATATGTTTGATCTCCCTTTGAATTTACTTTTCAACTTTGGAAAGCATTTTATGCTCTGACATTTAAAGCAGAGTGCCACTTTTTTACTTCTATGAGTTTAGAAAGTAAACAACGCTACTTTCTCTGGTAAAAACAGAAGTGACCCAAAGTGAGTTATAAGCTAGCTAATGACATTGCTTCTGCTTAATACTTATAAGGTGTTGAATTTAATCTTATAAAAGAAAAGCTACTTAACCCCCAACCATGAGGAAAACTTTCCTAGGTTTTCAATTCTATTTTTATATATCTACCTTAACATAATGCAAAGTGCACCATGAGCAAAAGGAATGTTTCAAAGTGATGGTTTTGTAATGCGTGCCACCTTGCGACACTTTTAGACTTTGGACTCAAACTTGGGATTTGCTTTGTGCTCTTAAAGAAATACAAGGCTGTAAGAGGAGTATAATTGGTCAGGATATAAAACACTTCAGTTTCTTTTTAAACTTATTTTTGCAGGGTGAATCACAGTTTTCTCTTTACCCATGGAATATTTATTGTATGTATGTTTTGCTGAACTAATAACCTCTCCAAGTTTTCTTTATTATTTTTCAGTTAGAAAGGTATGCGCAACAAATAATAGGACAGGTAGGAACAGATGCAATGAGAAGGTTTTGGTAAAAAAAAAATGACACAAATGTACTTATTTACAAACCAGAAACAGACTCACAGATATAGAAAACAAACTTATGGTTACTAGAGGGAAGAGGGAGTGGGAAGGGATAAATCTGGAGTTCGAAATTTGCAAATATTAACTACTATATATAAAACAGATAAACAGGTTTCTTCTGTATAGCACAGGGAACTATATTCGATATCTTATAGTAATCCATAGTGAAAAAGAATATGAAACAAATATATGTATGTATATGTATGATTAGACTATTATGCTGTACTCCAGAAATGGACACAATACTGTAAACTATAATTCAAAAAAAATTAGCTTGCTTTCCAAACAGTATTTCTTCTTATTTCTGTTCTGACGGACAACAACTGTAGTGTCACTTTACTTCTTGGCAGTTCCTCACCTGACAACAATTTCTGCACAGAATAGAAAGAAACAAAGAAGCAGCCTGAAAAGGTTGCCATTTCGGGGAAAGTAGATATTAGTCTTTCTCTAAAGAAAGATGCCTTTATAATTTTAAGAGTGTTTCAGAACTTAGGGGTTTTGTTTGTTTTGTTTAAAAAAGGATTGGCTGTATCAGAATAAGTTATCTTTACTATACATATGGAATTCATGAGAAGGAAAATGTCAAAAAAAAAGGTAAATTGCATTTCCATGACAGGTTTTGCTGTAAGCACCCTACAAATAATTAGTTGTTATCCAAGACACTACCCAGCTAGTTAAAACTCAAATTGTTGGAAACTGCTAAAGTCATAAAGTTTATCTGATTAGCAGTTAAAAAAAAATCTTTCTAGCTTGATAGACATAGATTTTTATAACAAGATACTTATTTGTGATTTTTTTTTCTGTAAAAGGTAAAAGGTAAGTATCAAATACCATCTATACTGGCATTTATGAGAAATGTAAACCAATTGTAAGAGTGTAGCTGAGAAAAGATATGGGAAGCTTTATCTACACTTTCCAGCCACAGCCACGTGAGTCTAGTGAGTTCCGGGTAGCGGAGATAGATGAATCATTACTGAGAAGAATAAGGAGCAAAAACATGGGTCCTGGTGCAAAATCAGTTTAACAAAAAGTAATTATTCTGTTTTTTAGGGGGAGGGGAGAAGAAGTTAAGGTGTATAAAAAGTATGTTACTTACAACATTTATTATAAACTATGCCATTTCTGACCCTGTTGCTCAGTTCAAATCCACAAACATTTTTCTGAACCTATTTGCCACATGCTCCTCTGACTGGTTCACGGTGGGGCAGTGAAAGTATACACATGACTCTCTTTTTAAGTCTTGTTTGTGAAAAATTCAGAATTCAAAAGGCACAAATGAGTTTACAGTAAAAAAATTTGCCTCCTACCTCTGTCCTTCAGCCAACCAGTTTTGTTTTGTTTTGGTATCCTTGCAGGTGACCAAAGATTCAAAAGCCTTAGCATATATACAGATCACCTAGAAAGTTTATAAAAGTTCACTGGGCCTTATCCTCAGAGATTCTGCTTTTCTAGGCCTGGAGGGTGCCCTGATACCTGCATTTTAGAGAATCATCCCTGCGTTTCCTGATGCAGGAGCCATTGGAATACCACTTGAAGAAAATGGGCCAGACCCATCGTTTATCCTCATTGAAAGGATTTTGTTCACCAAAAGCCATCATTTTCTGTAGTGGTCTTTTTGAACACATTTTACAAACAAACATGTCTTGTGAAGTTTATAAATACATTTTGATGTTTTAGACTTGGAGCTAACCCTGGCACAAAGAACAACTTAGTAAGTGCCCTTGGCTGTGACTTTGGAGGGCTTCTGGTTGGCTGAC